ATGGACTTTCTTTTCTTGCCTTAGCATCACCTGACTGTAGATTCTTGTATGACCATGAACTTCAATGCAAAAATTGTTTCTTTCACCATATGAATCTGAAGTAGCTTAATAGAATTTTCTAAATTTGATGAGAAGTGCTAAAACAATAATTTTCAGAGGCACCAACCTTTTTCGAACATATAAATCTGAAGTAGCTTAATAGAATTTGCTACACCTGGTGCCAGTGGCAACTGTGGTTAATCATTCACTGGAGGTTGCGATGAAAAGAAACAGGAAAAAAAGGATTCTCAGAGGAACATTTTGATTGTTTTACAGAAACTTGTGGTCTGCAAATTTTTTTGGGTCAAACTTGCTGAAACTCTCCATTGCTCAGATTCACTGTGTTTTGGGTCAAATTTTTTTACTAACCAAACCCCTGAAAAATAAAAAAAGAAAGGACACACACATGGGCCCAATTGGCTTTACTATGCACACCCAAACTAGAGCCACGTCGCCTCATTTTATATTGGATGATACAAATGCAATCAAGAAGAAAACCGTCATCTACCACACGCGTCCTTCCCTTCTTTAAACAACAATGGCTTCTTCAGTGGCCAAAGCCATCACCACCACCTCCTCCGTCGCAATCCTCCTCCTCATCCTCCTCAATGCCTCTCCCTGCAACTCATCGATTTCAGACGAAGACCCATCGCCAACCCCATGGCCCCACCAATTCCACTCCATTTTGGTGATGAACTACACCGGAACCCTCCAGCTGATCGACCTCTGGTACGACTGGCCCAACGGTCGAAACTTCAACATCATCCAGCACCAGCTGGGTTCGGTCCTCTACGACCTCGAGTGGAACAACGGAACCTCCTTCTTCTACACATTGGACTCCGCCAGAGAGTGCAGAACCGTCCAGATAGAAGTGGGTATTCTCCGACCCAACTGGCTCGACGGAGCCAAGTATCTGGGTCGCCGACACGTGGATGGGTTCCTTTGCGATGTTTGGGAGAAGGCCGACTTCATTTCGTATTATGAGGATGTTGCTACCAAGAGGCCTGTCCATTGGGTCTTTTACACAGGTGTGACACACACTAATAAACTAATAATTTCTCTTTGCAATTTCTAACTTGTTTCATTTTGTTTTAATAATTAATTAGTTCATATGCCACTTCTGCAATTATATCATATGTAAGTGTTTTTGACTGAAATGCTCCCCCAATTCAACTATTGTTGTTGCTCGAGTATCATTTTGGTCCATAAACTAGCTTTTTCATTTTGAATCAAAAAGCACCTCATGGAAATACAGGATTTCTCTTTGATTTTGCTGTGAAGGGATGGACACAATTGGAGGACTATTGAAATGAAAAATTTAGTTCACGGATCAAAATGATACTCGAGCAATGGATGGGGATCATTTTCGGTCAAAAACCCTATATACAAGAACATGTTTGCAAATTGAAATTTTCTTGTTCCTCTATCATAATGTGAAATCAATATTGTGCAGGGAGGGAGGCACACGTGATGACGTTTGAGGTTGGGGCAGTGCTTGAGGATGCCAAATGGCAAGCCCCTTTATACTGCTTTGATAAGAAAACTGAAACTCACCCACAACCAGAACCAGAAGCAGAGTTTTCCATCACTGGTGGTGGTGCTTCTTCAATGGTTGGATTTCTCAGAGGTTCAAATCAATTGGGATTCAATATGTAATGCTGTTTGTTCTGTAATTTTTGTTCCCCTGTGATCCGATGGTACTCCGTGCCTGTATATATAAAAATAAATTATCTTATAGTTAATTAAGTTAAGCAGCATTGAATCGATTTCGACTTCAGTTTTTAAGGGGTACTGAGTCACCCTCATCGTATTATTTGGCCAAGTGTAATCTGGACATCAAGCCTTCGAAATCAGTATTCTTTTGTCGTGGTTTTGTACCTAATCCGTTCAATGAATGTTAGTTTATCATATCTAGCTACCTAAACAAAACAACTCATTCCAATCCATCTTTCTATTCAATGTTTTATATTCTGTAGCATTGACGATTTTTGTTTCTTTCAATCTTTTTTTACTTAACCGAGAAACGAGCCGGTTATTGGTCTTGTAGTATTTCTCTTTCCAATTTTCAAGTGTCAATCCCTAGTTTTTTATTGCATTACGAGTCACGACCACATCTTTTTGCCTTATTTTCTTAAATGTTATGTGTGTTAATAAATTTTTATCACAAGGCTGGTCCCCTAGTGAGTTAATAATATGCGGCGTTTAAAATCAAATGTAAGATTGGCAAATTTCACACTTACATACGTATTTTCACGTGTAATATACATTTTGTGTGTGCTTATTTTTCAACAATACACATATTATTTGTATTTTTTGAAAATTACAAATAAAAATTATTAAAGTATTTGGGTATCGTATTTTTTTTTTATAAAAAAAATATCAAATGTATGTATTTTATGACGTATTATTCCAGATCCGTATTTTACTAATTATGGCTGGTCCCTATACATTTCACCCATGAGTCATGATGACTGAAAATCCATAGAATCGCTGTGTGTATATGGTAGAAATACTAAAGAGCAGAGTAAAGAAGCTTCTCAATTTCATCATAAATAATCTATTCCGCTGTTTGAGGCTTTAAGCCTACCACTCTATAATGTTCCCAAAACCAAAAAACCATTTGCGTGGACTCTCAAGTCTCCGTCTTCCCTAAGCCCTACCTTACCTTCTTCTGATCAGACGATCTTCATCGCTCGCAATCTAATCGCTTATCCACAGCACAACACAAGGTACGCTGCAGCTCCGAATTTTTAACCTTTACTTGCTTTCCCATTTGAAAACCCTAGAAATTTCGGGGTTTCTACTGCAATTCTTGAAATTTTCTGTGCAAGGTTCAGTAATGTAAATGAATAATCAATTGTTCAGCTAAAACTATGTCTGGATCATCGTAAGTGTCAAAGATTGATGCTTTTCTTTTATATTATGTAATGTATACGCATGGGTGCATTTGGGAGTCTCTCAATTGGGGGCTTCTCCGCTTGAAGGCTACTTAAGTGGGTATTTATTATTGTTCCCACACCATCAACAGATTGATGGTGTGGGAAGAGAAAAGCATTCTTCCCTGTGCTGTATTTATCTTATTTTTTTTGGCATCACTCAGTATTTTGCTGACATTTGAAAAGATTGAACTCCAGGAACTCATATACATTGGAGGAGACGCCTTGGTGATGAAAGTATAGTATTTGTCTTTGCAATTCGTTTCGTGGACCCTTTGGTATTTATTGGAAAAGCATAGAGATGGGTGCTCTTTGCTGCTGTCCTTGTAGTGAGGACTTTGAAGAATATGCTCTTCCAAGCAATTCAGTATATAGGCATTGCACGTGCCTAAGATACTTCTTCCATCAGCTATTCAGTGGGTATAGTGCACCGTTTCAAAGGCTTGATGGACGGCCACCTTCATCACCTCTCCCAGGAGCTACTTTGGTATCATCCGGAGTAGGCACAGCACTCCCGAATAATTCCTTGAATGATACTCAGCTCTCAGTGTCCAGGCCATCACCCTTTGATGCTGATCAAAGATACTCGCGTTTGCAGCGTGATGGATTGGTCTCTAGGCGCGATAAGTCAATGACTCATTTGCAAGAAGATGCGCAACAACTGAGAAGAGGCAGTTCTGGCACAGAGTCCCTGGGTTTTGGGAAGAAATGGAATGGAGATGATAATGAAGAAGATTGTAAGTTTGGCCAATCTGAGACCTCGGAAAAGGCTTTGGCAACAAAACTGGCATATGGACTAACTTTCGTGCAACCCTCATCTGAAGATGAAGATGTTTGCCCTACATGCCTGGATGGTAATCTAAATATGCAAATGTCATAGGATAGCTAATAACCAGTGGGCATTGCTAGCATATGGTTTAAGTTATCATTGTGAAGTCATAATATATGTTGGTGCTGCAAAATATAAAGATACTTGCTTGACTGGTTCTTTCCTATATTGATAATAGTTAATTTATTTCCTTGCAGAATACACTACAGAAAATCCTAAAATCACAACAAGATGTTCTCACCATTTTCACCTTGGCTGTATTTATGAATGGTTGGAAAGAAGTGAGAGCTGTCCAATTTGTGGCAAGGTAAGCTGGACTGTGAAATGTAGTATAGATCAATTATCTCTTATGAAATGTGCGCCTATGGCATTTGGCACGGTTGTTTTGCAGCAGTTCTTACATTATCTAAATTAAGAGTAGACTTCCTGAGTAATTCATACTTTGACTGTTCATTTCTGGATTGTCAGGAAATGGAATTCTGTGAAAGCCCTTAACTTTTCTCTCTGATTTCAAAGCAATAGAGCAAATATATATGGAGCGGCTATGAGTTTCTGTAAATAAAGTTGTCATGTTTATAAAGGGTTGCATAGAGGGAAGCAATTGTTCATTTTGTGTCACTAGTTTGTAATACTTGTGGTGTTTCTCCATGCTTCATGGTTGGTTATCTTACTTGTTGTATAGAACCTCCACAGATCTGTGTGGAACCTTATTAAGTGATTGTAACATAATTGTTATGAAAACATCTGAAGGGCTCACGCCATCCATTTCTTTCTTGCTTGTACTGCTTGTGATGGAAAGTTCTCAAGCCTTCACCAATTAATAAATCTTTCTACCATGGAAAAGCAATCAAGGCAATTTCTGTATTGCCTGCAGTTCTTATGATTTGACATGAAAAAAAAGGTGCAAGAGTTATTTCACCCTTTATTTTCCCACAGCTGTTTGTCTCAGATCTGTTCTGTTGATTTTGATAGTATCATTGACATTGCAAGCTGTGTTTGTGATCCTTTGGGTGTATTTATCTTTTTGGTCTGCACAAGCTCCAAGTATGGCACTTGAGCACAAACATAACATATGGTTACAAATAGATTGTTTAGCTGATCAAAGTTTTAGGTACCAGTGGCCCTGCCAATTTAATGATACTTTCCCATAATCAAGTAGCTGTCCTATAAATCTTGTAGACAATGGTAGGTTTCTTGTTTCTTTTTTCTTTTTCTTTATAATGCACACCAAATTTTAGCTGTAATTCTGTACTAAAAAAGGTGGGTGGGCAGCAGTAAATTGAATGCGATTGGTCCATTGGACCAACCAATCTTTAAGGGGGATTGGTTCATCCTCATACCCTTACTCCTATAGTTATACGCACTTCAAATTGAATATTTTGTGAAAAACAAGTAACCTTCTGGTGACATAGTGACAAATAGATGCAAGTACAACTTGTTGCCAAATAACCAACCTATGATGCTAAACACAAACAGTAATTCCTGATTGCTTAAACACTTGCTTACATGTAAATCTGGTTTTTTTTTTTTTTTTTCTAACAAGTAGCAAAATTGAAAGCTAGGAATATAGTGGGAAAACGACATTTCATCCCATTAATGCTTATCTATCCACTGAGGGGTTGCTCTTTTATGTTGGCTAGAATCTGCTTCTCCATCTCAACCCCCTGCTCTGTCCTGTACTTGTACCTATGTGCGCAATATAGAAAAACGCAGAAATTGATGACACTCAAAACTGTGAGCAGCCAGTAAAAATAATCAAATCTGCCAGTATTAATGTTCTGGGACAGCCAAGATGGCTTCTCTGAGCTTCCTGTGACAGATTTGATGATGCTGTTCAATATACTGGCTGCGAAGCAACCTAAACCCCCGGCTAGAGCAGCGTAAGCGGAGCCTATACTTTTCATGGCATCTGGGGCTTCTTCATATAGAAATTCTAGCAACCCCACAATGCAAAACACTTCAGCTATGCCAATGAGGCAATATTGGATCAACAACCAGAATGCACTGAGGTCTGACATTGGACTTAAGAAACTACCCTCATATCCATGCTCTATTGCATAATTTCTTCGGTACCTTTCGAAAATTGCAGCCCATGCCACAGATAGGATTGAGACTGCCAAGCCTATGCCCACTCTCTGAAGCTGAGAAGCTCCATGAGGGTGACCGGTGATGCGCCGAGACAGCGGGACAAATGTAGAGTAATAGAGGGACAGTATAAGAAATATGCTGAGGCCAGGAAACACTGGCATGCATGTTACTGGGAGTTTAAGTTGACCCATATGGGTGTTTAAAGTGTATGCCTGCTGGACTGAGAGAGTCAGATACTCTGTCAAGACTGCACTCAGCATTATTGTGCAAGCTGGTATTGGAATAAGTTTCAAAAGGATCTTCACTTCCTCTACTTGAGTCACAGTGCAAAGCCTCCAAGGACTTGGGTCTACACCATCCTCCTTCAACTGCAGAGCTGCTTTGTCCAAACATCTGCAACACAGAAAACATCAGATGTTATACAACTGAAGAGACGGAACATAATAATAAGTTAATAAGTTTTGCTTTGAAAAGCCAAAAGTAGGATTTAGTGTGGAACAAACAAGGAATTAAAATGATCTCACATATCTAACTCAGAAAGAGCAGTAAAAAGTAAACGAAAAGATACCTAAAATCGTTGGTGTGAGCTATCTTTCCACTGCCCTTTATAGCAGATTGTTTTCCAGGAACCTCATACAAGCCTATCAACTCACTGCTAGAAAAAGGCGCGTTCCTCTTCCTGTATGCAGCCACCAAAACTTGAGCAACGCGCGTTAGAGGGCTGCCTCCTGGAAGTCTATGCCTGTATAGAGGGGTACCAACAAAGAATACCAAGTTTGATATGCCCATAGCTAATGCCAGTGACCCAAAGGCAAATCCCCAACCAAGTTTGATTTGGATATAGACTACCGCAGTAAAGGCCACAATTGCCCCAATGGTGACAGAAAGGTAAAAGAAGTTGAAAAATCTATCCAGGTGAGACTT